CATTTTAAAGTAGAGGCCTTACCCTTTAAATCGCGTTAAGGAACAATGTCCTGCGATTCCGGGAAGCCGAGATATTGGTTTCTGAAAATCGACAAAATTTGCAGTTTTTAAAGTGCTCCCCTAATTTTTTTGCGTAGTGTATTTTTATATATATTTTATATTTGTTAGGCGTTTTGTCATTCAACGGTTATTGCAGACCTTTTGATATTGCTGCAAATGGTTATGTGCGTAGCGAAACAGTATCAGTAATATATCTTCAAAAGGTGAAGAATGCGAAGAGGATTTATGCAATATGTCCGCATATTAAATTAAACTGTGATGGTTATAAAGAAGAAGGAATAACATACCCATCGTCGTTTATGCAAAGTACTTTACTAACAGAATTTTATAATGAATGCGGAATACCGACATCTTGTTTGGATTACATAGAGGCACATGGCACCGGTACCAAAGCTGGCGATCCCCCAGAAATTAGTGCTATCTCTAATGTATTGTGTAATAATAGAGAAACTCCATTAATGATCGGCTCTATAAAATCCAATCTTGGTCATGCTGAACCTGCTAGCGGTTTCACTCAAATCGCTAAGGTAAAACAATTGGCATCCGTTTTCATTTATTATTATAAAATTTGTTTTTATTTTACGTAATCATATATATATATATATATATACACAAAAAGAGAAGATTTATTTAAGAATATTCGTAATATAAAATAAAAATTATTTGATAAAATCACTTTGTAGTAGAGAAATTTAATACTGTGAGTATTAAATATTTTATGAGTAATAATTAATTTGTTAATAACGACAGTTAAACGAAAAACCACATTTTGTCTCTCTCAAATATATTGCGTTAATACGTTTCTCAAAGATTTTTTTCGCGCTAAATATGATGCCGTTGGCAGAGTTTGCTTAGCACGTCAGAATTTTGAGTTAATTGAAAAAAAGCCAATAATAGCGTTGTTGATCACTTTTAACATTTTTTTGGAGACAAAAAGAAAATCGGTTTCTAAATAAACTCTACGGGATCTGGAAGTATAATTCAAGAGCTTTCAAACGAACATGATTTCTGATATTAGTACAAAACATATTCTTGACAAAGTTAATCTTATAGCCCAGTCAAACTAGATTATAATAAGAAAACAATTGCTGAAAGCTGAATTTTTGTATATAGGCTTAAAATATTGTACTTTTTAACATATCAAAAGTCC